CTCTCTCTCTCTCTCTCTCTCTCTCTCTCTCTCTCTCTCTCTCTCGTAGTCTGCTGATGCAGTGAAGTCAGATAGCGAGAGGGTAAGAAGGAGATGGTGGACTGAGAAGAGGAAGAAGAACTCTCTCTCTCTCATGTGCCAGGTACTAACCTGTGAAGATGGCGCTGTGTTGCAGGTACCTCGAAGACGAAGCTGGAGCAATGGCGCTGCAGGTACGTCTCCTTGGTCTCCGCCCAATCTCTCTCTCTAGTACTACTCTAGCTCCTATGGCACCCAGCGCTGAAGACTACTGCTAACGCTACTAGCGCCCAACGCTGAAGACTACTGCTAACGCTGCCACTACCACTGCAGCCCTCCTCCAGAGTGCTGCTGCCGAATCCTGAAGACTACCTCCTGCCTCCTGAACTGCACGTGAGGTGCCTGGGAAGTACCTAGGAACTCCCTGCAGCCTGCAGGGTGGGCCAGTCTTATATAGTGCTGGCCCATCCAGGAGGCTGCTCTTGCCAATGCCAAAACGTGCCAGACCTTGGGGTTGAAGCTCGAACAAAGGTTGTCTTGAAAATAGGCCCAAAATGGCCTGAGCTAAAACCGTGGTCTGGTGCATGAGTTTCAGGGCAGGTCGGTCTTATGAGGGACTGAAAATGGCCCTCAGTTTCAGGCTGAAAACTCTCAGGGCCGGAAAGGCCCTGATTTAGCCTGAAACGACACAGCGCCTGTAGGCCCTTGTTTTCAGGCTTTCAGGCTGAAACGACATTCAGCCTGTAGGCCCTTGTTTTCAGGCTTCTGGCCTGAAAACATCACGGGCCTGAAAGGGGGCCCGTGCAGCCTGTTGCAGGCGCAGCATGTAACACATGCTCACTCAACTCGATGCAGACTCGACACGACTCGACGGACGCAGACGAAGTGGCAAAAGTCGCAAAGTCACAGTCTTCAATTCCCAAACACAATGTCAAAGCCAAGTCACACAGAACACAAACACTGAGGCTGAAAACTTCCTGTCGGTACTGTGCTTGAGTCCGTACTTAAGTACCAGACTCAAGTACAGTCGTGAGGGAAAAAGTGAAAATGCCTCAGGGCCAGAACTGAAAATCAGAAGTTCGAGAGTGGGCCCCAGAATGCCGGATGGCGCCAAATGTCGAAAATCCGAAAGCCGAAAAAGGAGGAATTTGTAAAACGGGCGCCAGGATGCGGATGGCGCCAACTGTCCGAAATCGGAAAAGCAAATCAAAGTAAAACAAAACAAGAAAATCACAAAAACAAAACAAGAAAGTCACAAAAACAAAAAACGAAAATAAATACAGCAAGCTGGCGGGTGATAATCCGCATACAAGGGATCGAGCCTTGGCGGAGTCCGTAATAGGTGCTGCCAGGGAGAGGGGGGCGGGGTTGGGCAGCTTGCACATTACATGGCATGTGCTATTGACACCCTTGTCAGGTCAGCCTGACAGCGCGCTTCACATCGTTGCAGGGAGAAAAGAAAACAAAGCTGTACAGGTGTGGCATTCTAAGCCACACGGGCCTTAGTTAGGGCCCGATGTCGAGCGCATCGGCTCCCGCCTTTTTCGCAAAGGCGAGAGCCCTCCCGGCCGCGTCACGCAAGAGAAACTTAGACTTTCAACTTTTCAGAGACAACTTGGACGACACGGTAACCTGCGCCGACCCTTCGTCGCTCCGGCCGAGTGCGCCAGCCGTACATCCCGCGGTCCCCGACGACAGGATAGGTTTTCGCGGGGCACAACTTACTTTCCCTAAGGGGTTGTCACCACCCTTAGGGGCGTATCCCCACCGAGCTACCGGCCCACGTGCGAAGGCTTTTATAATGCAATTGCAGAGGTAGGCCGACCGAGGGCGTTTTCTCATTCGCTATAGCATAGGTAGGCATGGTTGAACGCCAAAGTGGACCCGAACGTCGTCCGTCCCTGGGGTGCTGATCTCCCAGGAGTCGGAACGTACGCTGGTCTACTAGGACGTGATATTCCAAGCGTAAGGAAAACTTTGAGCGATCCTAGTCCCTTCTTTCAAAGGAAATCAAAAGTTATTCAGACAAAACACTTTCAAATGAAGAAGACTCGAGTCAACGTAAGTTGACTTATATTCTGCAATCGATTCATCCATAATACAATTCAACACGCATACCACCCATTCAGAACGACTCGACGTAGGCCGACTTGACTTGCCATCCATCGACGAGCCAACATGAGTTAACTCGACTTCAAATAACACTTATCAACAAAAGGATAAAAGCATGATTAATATACATAGCGACGCTCAAATGGCGTCTGACCAAAATATCTCCACTCTGCTTGCCAAATGGTTGGGCTAACACAACTTTTCGACTTGATGAGATGCGTTGCCAAGTTCTTTCATTCCGCCCCATACCGATTGCTAGAAAAGAAACGCAGACATCTCCCAACTCTCAAGTAGAGCTAGGATACCATTGCTTTAATGGTGACTTCACGATCTTTCTAACTTTGGTGTGAATGACTTCCGCAAGGAACCTGACGATCACTATTCAAATTAGCGGCCGATTTGGACAAGCGATACACTAGTTACCCCGCCGAAAACGGGATCCGTTCTCAAATTTTGTTGGTTGCCTTGTCCTCCTCGGCAATAATGATTCTTATCGTCCCACAAATGATGAAGTACCCGTCTTCATCATAAGAATCTTTAAAGCGTTGCTCTAGTTGCTACTTCCTATCAACCCATCTCAACCCCAGGTTTGCACTTCTTATGGTGCAAACCTATCTGCGAAGGTAATGTCTACTCGCACTCCAGAAATGGGCTTCTTTTGGCGCCCGTTCCCCACACGCTAGTGGCTCCTAAGACGACCATTAGAGGCGCAGTTCTCCTTAACACGAGGCGTCAAAAAAAAAAAAAAAAAAAAACTTAAGGCCCTTCCGTGAATAGCCGCAAGTCCTTCCCCTAGGAGGTGGTCTGGGATACCCCTCGTCCTCGCCCGAGCGAACCTCGGATCTCAGAAGTCGGGCTGGCTCCACCACAACAGCATGGTATCTCTCCGCAAAGCGGTCCACTCCGAGTCTATAACAGGGCCGACCCCTAAGGCAACGAATCATTCAGACAGACGGGCATAGACAAAGAGAGGGTTATTCGAGAAAGAATAGGTGACCTCAGGAAAAAGTTTATGTCCAATTGATTTCTTCTCCTTTGTGATCGCTTCGTTCTTCGTCACCTTTCTTTTCTTTTTGTTCGAAGCATACATGCAAGCGTGAAGATGTGAGAACAACCAATCATTCGCCATCTCACGATCAAATCCCATTTCATTTCAATAAGCCTCACCTGGAAGCAGATCAAACAACAAGTTCAAAAAGAAAACAATGCAAACCCACACTCATGTCAGACTCCCATTCACATGCACAAACACACATTTCCTCTACCTTTTCAGTGTACATTCAAAGAACAGGGTGAAGCAAAGTGCGGGTTCACGTAGGTGTGAAGGGGTCTGAGTCAAAACTGACCGACCTTGAGTGAAGATTGATCCGACTCACTCAAGAAAACTTGACAATATTCCAATCAAAAGCAAATGACCGCCGTAAAATATGAAAATATGTTGCTCACAACTCCACAATTTGTGGCCTTTCTACTAAGTCACGGTCTGCGTCCTTTTCCACGTGCTCGATCAGACAAGGTTGGGTCCACTGAGATGTTTGACTGAGATAACCCTCAAAGAGGGTGCTCCCATGATCCAAATCTCACATCATCCCAACGTCTCATACCGTCCTAGCACAGTCTCAATTGCACCTTGACCACCAACGATACTTCCCAACCAGCCGCAAGTCCATGTCGCCTCTCACCACGTCCGCTCGCAATAGTCATGCCATCATGCCAGTCCCGATCCCGAAATCAGTCCCACCTGGTCCCAAAATGGTCCTAAGTGGTCCCATGGTATCGTTGTACCACCAGATGGTCCCAAGACTCAAAAACCGCTCGCACCGCGTGCCACAAAAAAAATAAAGGTGACTCTGGTTCAAAACCGCATGTGTCGTGAGCCCCAATGACTACTCCGCCTCGTGCATCCAATCCGCACTCTCTTCATGCCGCCGGCCCACGCACCACTGCCGCACAGACCCAATTGTGCACCAGCGCTGCACAATCCCAACCACGTACCAGCGCTAGCCCAACACTGGGATCCACCATAATTGCCTCGCACCACAAAAAAAAAAATAACGGCAGACCACTGCTTGCCGCCCCGTAAATTGATCAGCATAACTGTCCTCCTAAATACGTTGTCGTTGCCATGCCGTCGAACGGGCAGCACTTCCTCCTTAAAAAAACATCCGCCGAGTTAAAATTTTGGCAGCGTAACCCCACCGGATACACTGTCGTTGCTGAGCCACTGATCGAACAGCACCTCCCTACACTCACATTAAAAGAAATGCCGGCATCGTGCGACAACCCCGATAGCACCTCCCCTTAAAAAAAAACGCCGCCGAATCAAAATTTCGGCAACATAACCCCTGGAAAATGCCGCAATTACTGCGCCGTCGGACGGGCAGCAGCTCCCTATACACACAAAAGTTGACGCTGGGCGGTAAATCCGGCAGCATATCCCCAACGCGTGTCGTTCGCCGCATAGCCTAACTCCCGACGCAGCCTACCAGTCGCGGCACCAACGCAGAGGTGGGGCAGTGAGCTCCCAACCTCAGTTGTGGCTGCCTCCCTTCTCCTCTTTCCAATGTAGACTTCCATTCTCCTTCACCAGCAGCACTTCCTCCTCTCCAGCAGCACCGCCCCACAGTAGCAGCCAGCCAGCATTCACTCAGGTGAATGGCCCAGCAACACTGCCATAAGTGTGAGGTTGTTGGGTGGAGTGCTCGCTTTTATAGCTAGCTGATGGGTGTGGGCAGCTGCTTTGCCCACAGCCAGGTAAAAATTTTGTCAGTGCTCCTGGCCCTTGATCCAGATCAACGGCCGGGAGCCCGGTGCCTTGGTTTTCCCCTAGGGGAACCAAGGTCATCAACCCCCAAAAGTATCTGACCATTTCCTAGGCCGTATACTCCTATAAATGGCTGTACCCAGCCACTTACTGCTGCCTGCTCAAAACGAATAGGCGCAATCGCATCACCCTCTAGATTCTTTTGGGGCTGCACCTGTTCTGCGGCCGCGGCCACATACGTGGCCGTTATTATTCTTTTGTTCCTTTTCTTTTCTTCTCTTTCTTCCTTTTTATCCCCCCCCTCGCTTCCCTGTACAGGGGGCAATTCGTTACCAGAGGCGAACGGTCAGCCCCAAACCCGAAGTCATTTCACAGAGTCAAGTAGAGTCTAGCTCAACAGGGTCTTTTCCCGTTGGCCGCGCGCGTGCACTAAGCTCAATAAGAATGCCAGGTACATAGCAAACCTTGGCAAGCCCAGCTTCACAATGATAGGAAGAGTCGTCATCGAAGGATTAAAAAGCGACGTATGCCTGGATGCCACGACCAGTTTTCCCGAAGCGGCCCTGCAAGCTCCAAGTCCTAAAACGCTAATAAATCGATGGGCCTCGCTCATCGAGGTCTCTTCCCCTTTCTCCCATGCGCGCCCGTACCTGGGCGCCGACAGCGCAAAGTTCGGGCATTCGAAAATCATGCTGCCCGTTTTTAAAAAACGAACGGCCGCATGATGAACATCACAGTAAAAAAAACGAGAGGATCTAAAAAAAAATCTAAGAAGAAAAATCTAAAAAGAATCCAAAAACAAATCTAAAAGAAAAAAATTCAAAAACAAATCTAAGAAACTAAAAAAAAAACAACTTACCTCGTAGATGAAAAAAACGGTCGTCCGTGGCGCCTGCAACTTTTCATGGGGACCCTAAGTCCTTGTCAGTTTTCCATGCGCCATCTGGTGCTTCGTTTCTTTCATCTTTCTTTGTTTTTTTTGTTTTTTTTTTTCTTTTTCCGTTGGCTTTGGCCAACGGTCACGTCATGACACTCCCCCCCCCCACGCCATCATGAAATGCAGACCTGAGTTCGATCCCATTAGGGATCGACGAAACACTTCGGCCATCTCCGGCCATCTCTCGATTTATGCGTGCCATCCTTGCGCAGGGCCATGTCAATCTTCGAATGGCGGATTTCCACCGTGCGATCTCATCGATCGTTCGGCCGAAATCGGCCGCGTGCGATTGCCTCCTTGGTGGGCTGCTCCAAAAGGAGCTAGCCCAGTAGGATGCTTGCAGCCGGGTTTGATCCCGGTATCCGTTGGGTAAGAATCAAGTGTTGTATCCTACTAGGCTTAGCTCCTATCACGACAGTGATAGGAGCAGCTCTTCTATATGAAGAGCTTGCCCAGTCACTTCTCCCCATGCCGTGGCGTTGCAGGCCCTGCCTGCCTGCGGCTATGCAGATCCTGCCTGGCTGAAGCCTAATAGGCTTTGCTGGCAGGCCTTGCCCCATCGGTTGGCCGCGTGACCTCGGCATCGGCCTATCAACCCCCTGGCTCGATGTCAACCCCCGCGGCCCAAGAAATAAAAAAACTTCATATTTCTTCCGCACCGCGGCCGCACACCTAGCGCGATCGTTCTTTTTAGCCTACGTAGGCCCTGAATCGCGCGGCTGCTATTTTAGGTAGAATAGGTATAACTTTAGCGTTCCCATGTCCACACGTCCCTGCGGCTTCGACAAAAGCGAAGCATTGCCATTCACATTTGTTACTCCCGGACGCCAGATGCGTCTGGACTTAAGTTCGGAAACTTTTAGTCTCTCAGTCATAGGTCAGGTCTGAATAAACTTTTGGCAAACGTCAGTCTCATCAAGTCCTTCAATCCAACAAAAAAGAGCCGGACAGTGTCTTTCCTTAAAAAAACTCGGGCACGAACCCTCTCAGGGGTTTCTGCCCCGACACCGGTTCCATCTAGGTTAGCGTACGCCTAGGGGTACGACGATTCAGATCAGGCCCAGGCAGACCTAGGAGTACGCCGGTTCAGGTAGAACCCGGTAGGCCTAGGTATAGGGGTCTAAGACAAGCCCAACCGTCACATTGGTTCAGGCTGGTACCGGTCCAGTGGTAGGACCTACCGGCGGCACAGTTCAGCGGCCAAGTTAGGCCGCCACTTTCAGATTCCGGCAACAGGATCTGAACCATTGATCAGATCAACGGTCCAGACCCAAAGTACCAGCAGCCTTGAGGCTGGCCCCGCACTATATTAGCCGGGTACAAGTCTACAGGTTAGTAGACAGGAGGTTAGTCTACGAGTTAGTCTTCAAGATTAGCGCAGCGCTTCAGCGTTAGCAGGATTAGCGCAGCACGGCAGCGTTAGCATGAGCAGCGAGGAGAGCTCGAGCACAGTGGCGACGAGCAATTAGCGCAGCAGTTGGAGCAGTGCCAGCCACCGGCCCAGCCCGCGGCCCAGCGCCAGCCTTCTGCAGCGCCATAGCTACCGAATCAGGTACTAGGGAGAAAGGCCTTGCCTTCCCTCCCTCTTCTTCCTCCGCCTCTCTCTCTCTCTCTCCCCCTCTCTCTCCTCCTACCTTCGAAGTCTAAGTCTACTCCTGGTTCTCCTACTGGACGACTACGAGTATGAAGGATGGTTACCAGTTTTGATGATGTTGGAGACAGCAACATTGAGACTGTAGGTCGAGGACTACTCTTGGGATCGGATTTCATCTACCTCTGGAGACGTACCTTGACATTGTGAGATCGATATCTGAGACACTGTGAGACTCTGTGTCCGCGACATTTCGGATTTGCGCCACTCTTGACATTTCAAGATACTATCTTTGGAAATATTGAGTTGACGTCATCTTCCCTCTCCTCCTCCCTTCGTCTCTCCTCCCTCCATTCATCCGTGTATGAGCATTGCCCCCGACCTCTTCTTCTTTGTTCAAGGCCAGGGCTTAACAACACCGATGTATGTTTGTGAGTGTTTCGTTGGAGTCTGAGTCAGGTCCGAGTCAATGCATGTATCTCAAGTCTTCCGCTGTATTTGTATTTACTCTGTATTATCTGGTCGGTTATGGGAATCTGCTCCATACTTACGACTGTGTTTCACGAGTATGCAATAGTTTGGTATCGGAGCAGACCAGCACTGGATGACTCACCATTGATTGATTGATTGATTGATTGGTTATCTACACCTGTACTCTGTTATCATCAAATCGCAAGTTGCAATTTTTTTTTTCTTTTATCATACTTACATAGTTAATTAGGCCGTTTGAATCCTAATTTTAGGTTTGGTGGCTCTCGTCATAATGCGCACGATTAGGGAACCGCTAATCACGATCAACCTAATTTGTGCTAATTAAGGTTAGTCCTAACCTAATCTAACGATCTAACAACCTATCAAGCTACGCGAAGTGAGCGCCAGCCAGGCACCACGCCAATTAAGGCAGATCAGACCTGAGCACGACCACATTCAACTGCAACTTCACAAAACTTTCAGTTTTGGCAAAATGCATCGTTTATTGCGATTAAAGATTGAATCTTTACGGCAGAAGTGTATCTCCCTATTACCATTGACCTTCTATTTACTTCTATTTACTTCATGACCTCGTAATGATGCTAAATTCTCTCGATCAAATTTCGTAAAATTATTAATTAAAATTCGGTTTAAATCCTTAAATCTTGCTTAACTTTATTCATTTTAGTTTTGCAAATTGAAATATTTTTTAATTAAATATTATTTTTTTGCTAAAATTGTTTTTTTGCTAATTTAAATATTCTTTAATGAGATATTTATTTTTTGACAAAATTAAAAATTATTTAATTAACTCGTATTTTTTTTTTTATACTTATTTCATAAAATGATTTAATATTTAATTTTTTAAAATTTGATTTTTTTTTATGGGGGGCAATTTTCTTGATGAGTGTCAAAGTCCGAGGTCAGGGCAGAAAGGGACAGTCTGTGCATTGTTTGCCTCCCTTCCCCTTCTTCCCACCCCTACCTTCTCTCTCCTCCTCTCGGTACTGCGAACTCCAGTCTCCGACCACGTCAGCATTGTGCCACATCAACAGCGTGCCACGCCAGCAGATTGCCATATCAGCAACGTGCCACCTCAGCGTGCCACGACAACAGATTGTCAAATCGTAAGAATGCCACCGCAGTAGGGTGCCACCTCAACAGTGACACATCAGCAGCAACGAAGACAGGACTACTTGATGCGCCACAATCAACGGCTTGCTGAACGCGGATCCGCAGGAACCAAGCCCCAACAGGGACCGAAGACACCTCGGATCTCGCGCAGACAACGCACGACCATGGCCAAAACCGCCGATGTCAATACGCAGGCCAGCCCCAAGAGGCCAGTCACTCCTCCCATGCCAATTCGGCAGGCAGATGAATCGCAACTTGCGTTTCTCGAACATCTCCAACATTTCACGGAGACTGCCGCAGCTGAACTTCGCAAATGGGAAAAGGAGGAGCCCCCTCGCCAGCAGGCAATTCAACGCCCGAAGCAGCACGTCAGCAGGCCGCAACCGAAGCTGCAGCAGCCGCACGGTTGCAGGAGCAGCAGGTGGAGGCAAGTCAGAATCAAGCTTGTTACCAGGCCACAATGGACCTCGCAAAAGACGAAGCCACGTACCGCAGGCTACTTCAACGACAACATTTCCAAGCAACCGAAGCACAAGAGGAGGCGACCGAGGAAGAGAGCGACAAGGAATCCACATCAGTATTGATGGAGAATGTGTTGTACATGTGCAATTGGCAGCAACGCGAACTGCTGGCCAAGAGGTAGATATTCATCTGCTACGAAGCAACTTTCCGGTCGATAGACCTGAAGATCGTGGCATTACAGGCCGAGAACAGCACCTTGCAGGCCACCAACAGCCAGCAGCAGACCATCAGCGACCAGCTGCAGACCACTGTCAGCACAGGGTTGGCACGACTGTCGGCAGTTGAGTCGACGGACAGTGCAGCGACAGACTGCAGCCCAGCTTTGGCCGCCCAAGCCAAGCAACTCGAGGAGTGGATCAACCACGTAGTCGCATCCCTTGGCGACATCAACACGTTTGCTGGGACGTCTACGGTCAACAATCAGCTGCAGACGCTTAGCGACCACGTTCAGCAACGACCGACTGTCGTCGTCAAGGAATGGAAGATGCCGAACTTCAAGATTGAGAAGTTCGATGATTACCACAAGACCGATCCGCTGCAGTGGTGGATGGCATTCAACGCGGAGGCAGACGTACATCACGTCCCACCCGAATGGCGGCTTGACGCACTCTACCTCCAACTCATTGGAGGGGCGTAGGCTTTCATGACTCACATGGCCATCACGTTGGAATGCACCATTGCCACCCTCCACACCAAGATCACGTGGGAGGAATTCGAGAAGAAGTGGAAGACCCGGTCCATGGTCAACAACGACAAACGTGACGCCTTGAACAAGATCTTCCGCATGTTTCAAGGCCAGCAACCATCACGGGAATGGTTGACGGAGTGGCAAAGACTCGTCGCCACCCCGAAGTTGAACCTGCCATTCGACGCAATCCGGGCCAAATTTTTCGCCCGCTCTTGCGATGCCTTGACATCTGCCCTTGGCAGCGAATTTCAGTATGAGACCTTTAACGCAATGATCTCAAAGGCAAGGGAACTCATACAAGGTAACCGGCGCGCGGCCAATGAGGCCCGCCAACAGCCCGGTTACGTGGAGAAAGGCAGAGGTCAGCTAGCAGCGATCCAGTAAGGATCTAGTGAGGACCTCGCAGCCGCTTCAACATAAAGTGACAGAGATGTGGCGGCAGCGATACAACCGCAACGCTCAAGACCCCGTCGAAACCAGCGTCAGCGGATGGAGCACGACAATCACCATGGACAAAATTCGGTATCACCGAAGACATGTTCAAGTTGAGGCAGAAATGGGGATGTTGTTTATGGTGCAACAGCACCAAGCACATCACTAGTGCATGCCTCGACAAGGACAAAGAAAATGTCAAGCGTCCAGGCTCGGGAAACTGAGCGCCACGGGAAGTGCAGCAACATCATTTCCCAGTCGGTTGGACTCGGCTGCCTCGCTAGCAGTCTCTCTCACGTCCGGGGACGCCGCGGTTGTAGCAAGTTCTCGGATTGACTTCGAGAACTATGTTGTCGAGCTGGTCCCGCCGTTGAACCAGCCTCTCCACGTGCAAGATCAAATCGCATGGGTGGTGTTTCCGCCGTCGGCCAACGAACCGGTCGCTTCGCCAGCCCTTCTATCGGAGGATCCGTCAACTTGGGCGAGTCTTGAGGAACTCGACCCGTTGACGGTTGAGGACTTCCTATGGTTGCCTCTTTCGTCCACCGGTTATTTGCCAACACCGCATTGCAACGCCCGCATGGCACATTTGCGCGAATACTTGCACGCTGCAGTACCACCTCCATCGACGGATGACGGAGTAACGGTTGTTGACCTTCGTAGCTATCTTGCGAAGATCGACCGCGAGCACGCAACGCACCGGTACGTCGACATCGACGTGCCGCTCCTCTACATCCGCATTCAGATCGGAAAGGCGACCTGCAGTGCCTTGATCGATTGTGGAGCGACTTGCAACTACAGCAGCCAAGACTTTATGGCACACGCTGGGCTGGGCCCACACGTTCGAAGGAAAAGTCAGTCCACGCACGTCACGTTGGTCGATGGTCATACACAAAAGTCAATCGACCGCTGCGTCGACTCCGTGCCCGTGTATTTTGCCCCGCTAGCATGTGAGGCCGCGTCATTCGACATATTGGACACTAGTTCGATATGATCTTAGGCATGTCGTGGCTGCAAAGCAAAGACCATCCGGTAAACTTTTTCCGACGCACCGTTCACGTTCGTGATCGGCGTGGCGAACTAGTTTCGTGCACGGTACCGCTTCCTCATCCTTCGATTGGTTGTCACGTGGTCTCCGCGGCGAGTATTCGCCAATCCATCCGGCGGAACGACATCGAGGAGATGGAGATGGGCATGTGTTTTCTTCACACCCTCCCACCCGATGATCTGCCCAAGACGGACACATCGGACCCACTCATCATTGAGCTTTTGGACAGCTATGAGGATGTCTTCCAAGCTCCCGCCGGAGTAGTACCGGATCGGTCCTTACTCCACGAGATCACTCTCGAGGACGGCGCCGTACCTCCGCGCAGATGCATCTACCGAATCAGCGAAGAGGAGCTTCAAGTGCTTCGGGCACAACTAGACGACCTCGTGGCCAAGGGCTGGATTCGCCCTAGTTGTTCGCCATACGGTGTTCTCGTTCTCTTCGTCCGGAAGAAGAACAAGGACCTTCGTTTGTGTATCGACTATCGAAAACTAAACGTACAAACAATCAAGAACGTCGGCCCTCTCCCTCGGATCGACGATCTTCTCAAGTGACTAGGCGGCGCCAAGTACTTCTCGAAGCTTGACCTCAAATCCGGATATCACCAGATCGAGATCCAGCCAAGAGAGCGGTACAAAACCGCATTCAAGACACGGTATGGGCACTTTGAGTGGATCGTCATGCCTTTCGGTCTCACCAATGCTCCGACTACTTTCCAGGTGGCTATGACGACGAAATTTCGCGACCTTCTCGACCGCATCGTACTTATCTACCTTGATGATATCTTGGTTTATAGCCGGTCGCTGGACGAGCACCTCGAGCACCTTCGCGCTGTTTTGGAACGGCTCCATTTCGCTAAGTACAAGGCAAACCGCGACAAGTGCGAGTTTGCCCAGCAAGAGTTGGAGTACTTGGGCCATTACGTCACGCCGCAAGGCATTCGTCCGCTTGAGCACAAAGTACAAGCCATTCAAGATTGGTCGGACCTCGCGTGTACTACCGACGTCCGCTCCTTTCTTGGGTTAGCATCATACTACATGCACTTCGTCAAGAGCTTCCAGCGGATCGCTGCACCACTGTTGCGACTTCAGTCCCCCTTGGTGCCCTTCGAGTTCAACGACGAAGCCCGACACGCGTTCCATACGCTTAAGACGACATTGCTTCAAGCTCCCGTCTTGAGCATCGACGACCTGACCTTGCCTACCAAAGTGACTACGGATGCTTTCGGCTACCACATTGGTGCGGTCTTGGAACAGCAAGACGGCACCGACTGGCATCCGGTTGAGTACTTCAGCCAAAAGGTGCCACCCATCAATACTCGTGATGATGCGAGGAAGAAGGAACTGCTACCTTTTGTCACTGTACTTTAGCGTTGGCGTCACTTTCTCCTTGGGCGTCGACGATTCACGTTGGCAACGAACAACAATCCGTTATCTTATTACAAGACACAAGACACGGTGAGCACCACGATCGGTCGCTGGATGTACTTCATTGACCAATTTGACTTCACCTCCAAGCATATTCCGGGCCCCTCGAACAAGGCGGCGGATGCTCTCTCGCGAAGACCTGATCTTTGCGCCTTGGTGCACTCCACATTCGGTCTCGAAGAGGACCTGCAACAGCAATTCGTAAACGGCTACAAGTCGGATCCGGGATTCTCCACACTCTACGCGGACTTATCATCGGATCACCCGCCGGCAAGCAATTACCGCATTGCCGACGGTTACTTGCTTCTCCATACGCGAGGCAAGGATTTGCTGTGTGTTTCCCAAGACCGCATCTTGTGCACTCGCCTCCTTGGCGAATACCACGATTCGCGGCTGGCGGGACACCTTGGCGTCGCACGCACTCTTGCAAGACTCCGCCAGCGATTCCACTGGTCGGACATCATCAGCGACGTCAACCGGTACATTCAGTCATGCGCAGTTTGCCACCGGAACAAAGGGCGCCCTCAACTCCCGTACGGCGAACTGAAACCATTGCCAATTCCTCGGGAACCAGGTCTCTCCCTTGCTATGGATGTGACCGGTCCTTTCCCTCGCGATCGCCTTGGCCATGATGGTATTCTCACGGTCGTTGACCGTTTGAGCAAGTACGCTCGATTTCTTCCATGCAAGTATCATGCGACGGCTCCCGAGCTCACACGACTTTTGCATACCGGCTGGTTTTGCAGCCACGGCGTTTCGGAAAACATCGTCAGCGATCGCGACACTCGTTTCATGTCAGCCTTTTGGACGACACTCATGGTGGAATCCGGCACCAGCATGATACCGAGTTCAGCAGGGCATACCGGCTGGTTTTGCAGCCACGGCGTTCCGGAAGACATCGTCAGCGATCGCGACACTCGTTTCATGTCAGCCTTTTGGATGGCACTCATGTTGGAATCCGACACCAACATGATACCAAGTTCAGCACCGCATCCTCGAACGGATGGGCAAACGGAACGTGCACGCCAGACTGCACAGATGATGCTCCGCACACTCATCTGCCCGGATCAGAAGGACTGGGTTGACCGCCTTCCCGACATCGAGTTTGCCTACAACACTTCAGTGCACTCGGCGATTGGCGTGACTCCATTCGAGTTGCATCACGGTGGACGAAAAGGCCGTATCTTCGCAGAGATTTTGCTTCCACGGACTGTCGACATCAATGTCGCTTGCTCCCCCGCTTCTACACGGAAGTACAGGGAACTGCTGGCCAAAGCCCGCACAAACATGCAAAAGGCTCAGGTCCGTATGCAGCAGCAAGCAAATTGGCGTGGCATCCCATGTCCAATCCACGCCGGCGACCTTGTTTGGGTCACCTCCGAGGAATTCGCGCTCGAGCAGCACGTCTCGCGCAAGTTCCTCCCTAAGCGGTGTGGTCCATGGAAGGTCACTTCAGCAGCTGGCGACGACCCCGCGGGTCCCTCGTTCATAATCGAGATTCCCCCGCATTTGACGGTCCACCCAATATTTCACGCTTCAAAGCTGGCGGTCTATACTCTAGCCTCAGCAGCGGATCTCTCGGGCAGACGGTCACACGACCCTCCATCAATGGATGGTCACCAGGAGGTCGACCGCGTCCTCGCTCATTGCAAGCACGACAACAAGCCAATGTAGTACAAAGTTACATTCAAGCAATGCGATCCCGACGACACACGCTGGATTTCACAAGCTGACCTGAAGGCGACAGGAACCCTTATTTTCGCGCATTACGAAAAACAGTGACTTGCTAAGGAAGCTGCCCAACCCGCCCGCTCCGTACGGACATCGGACAGACAGCTTTGCCCTCGCAGTTAGCTCGGTCTTCAAGGGGGGGGAGTATGTGGCATTCTGAGCCACACGGGCCCCACTTAGGGCCCGGTTCCATCTAGGTCAGGGTACGCCTAGGGATATGACGGTTCAGATCAGGCCCAGGCAGACCTAGGAGTACGCCGGCTCAGGTAGAACCCGGTCGGCCTAGGTATAGGGGTCTAGGACAGGCCCAACGGTCACATTGGTTCAGGCCGGTACCGGTCCAGCGGTAGGACCTACTGGCGGCACAATTCAGCGGCCAAGTTAGGCCGCCACTTTCAGATTCGGCAACAGGATCTGAACCGTTGATCAGATCAACGGTCCAGACCCAAGGTACCAGCAGCCTTGAGGCTGGCCCCGCACTGTATTAGCCGGGTACCAGTCTACAGGGTAGTAGACAGGAGGTTAGTCTACGCGTTAGTCTTCAGGATTAGCACAGCGCGGCAGCGTTAGCATGAGCAGCGATGAGAGCACGAGCACAGCGGCGAGGCGGAATTAGCGCAGCAGTTGGAACAGCGCCAGCCACCGGCCCAGCCCGCGGCCCAGCGCCAGCCTTCTGCAGCGCCATAGCTATCGAATCAGGTACCAGGGAGAAAGGCCTTGCCTTCCCTCCCTCTTCTTCCCCCGCCACTCTCTCTCTCTCTCTCTCTCTCTCTCCCCCTCTCTCTCCTCCTCCCTTCTAAGTCTAAGTCTACTCCTGGGTTCTCCTACTGGACTACTACGAGTATGAAGGATGGTTACGAGTTCTGATGATGTTCGAGACAGCAACATTGAGACTGTAGGTTGAGGACTACTCTTGGGATCTGATTTCATCTACCTCTGGAGACGTACCTTGACATTGTGAGATCGATATCTGAGACACTGTGAGACTCTGTGTCCGCGGCATTTTGGATTTGCGCTACTCTTGACATTTCAAGATACTATCTTTGGAAATATTGAGTTGACGTCATCTTCCCTCTCCTCCTCCCTTCGTCTCTCCTCCCTCCATTCATCCGTGTATGAGCATTGCCCCCGGCCTCTTCTTCTATGTTCAAGGCCAGGGCTTCACACCACCGATGTATGTTTGTGAGTGTTTTGTTGCAGTCTGAGTCAGGTCCGAGTCAATCCATGTATCTCAAGTCTTCCGCTGTATTTGTATTTACTCTGTATTATCTGGTCGGTTCTAAGAATCTGCGCCATACTTATGACTGTGTTTCACGAGTATGAAGGAGATGTTTGGGGAGGAGGAGGGAGGAGAGAAAAAAAAACTTTTCATCATGTGTCGGTTTTACTGAGTTTACTCGCAAGGACTACACAGTGTACGCACGCATGTCTGCACGTGCTTCATCCCCTCACACCTGAACAGCTTTGTTTTCTTTCTCCCTGCAACGATGTGAAGCGTGCTGCTGGGCTGACCTGACAAGGGTGTCAGTAGCACATGCCATGCAATGTGAAAGCTTCCCAACCCCACCCTCCTCTCCCTGGCAGCACCTCATGGGCTGCAGCACATGTTATGTGACTGATTGAAACGCAATCCAACAGAGCGTTAATGCGAATTCACCGACGAGCGACTGAATGTGAGTGAAGATCCCTCCCAGGGACCTCTCGTCCATTCTCCGCTGTTTTCTTTTTTTTTGGACCATTTCTCAATTTATGTGTCATACTTGTGCAGTGGCCATGCTAATCTTCTCTGTATCGTTCCGATTTTAACGGATGTCCCGAAGGACAAGGGTTTCACTGTTTTTTGAAGTCGAAAGGCTCGAAACTTAGGTCTTGAAGTCCAAATGTGCCCTAATAAAGGCAAGGGTCGTAGACAGGCCATGTAGAGCTGCAGCGGCAAAGCTACCTAGCGTACTTTATGACCAATGGCGCAACAGCATAGCCAGAAAGGTCATCCGCCATAGCCAGCAGTTTCCCAACTCCTCCTCAGGTGTTTGCTGTCCAGCACCAGAACCCCCTGATTTCCGGCAACATGATGGCAGCATCATGCGGTCAGCAACATTAATCGAGGGGGGAGGAGAAGAGCTTGCAACCTGTGAATGAATGGCAATCGCATTTTGATGAACAGGATTCTACCAGCTGAGTCATTGACCTCATAATACGGTGCAAAATGCTCTGAAGGATTCTGCATGAACAGAGAATAATGGACCCGTCAGCTCTCCCGCATGCTGACAACCAGGAGCAGTGGTGGTGCACCAAAGAATCAAGGGAAAATGAAATATGGGTGAAATTGGGTCAAAAGCTTCCAGACGTTGGCATTTAAGTCCGAAATATTAACAAACGGGCCTAGCTCGGTTGGTAGACCCATGAACTGTTGAGGTATGTACCTGAGTTCAAATCGCGATGAACTCCATGAGTCATGAATTAGGTTAAGTAATTCTGAATTACCTGGGGCTGGTCGGTTCTATGATGATTTCTCAAGGCCGTGGCCCTTTTTTCCTGTTATGAAACTGGACCATCGTTGGACTCTACTGAGATAGGTTAAGGAACGTGTCTGAAATGTCTCAATTTCTCTCTGGCCATTCTGCGCTCCGGCTCTTCCTAGCCCATTCCCTATTTGTGGTTTTGCAGGACACCGGATAGGGACAGTGGGGTCTGCTTATTCCATTCGCAAGGAGAAAGTGGGGTCATTTCGTCCCATAATTTTGCTCCGCAGTTTCGCACCTTGTTTTTATGCCGTCCTTCTGTGCTGCAGCGTGCTGTTGTATTGGTTTCTGCAAGGGGCTTATATCATCTTATATGGGCTGATTGAACGATTGAAGTTGAAATTCCACAATTTTTTGTACTTCTTATTGTATGGTGTTGAATCTGTTGATGGATCACTGCCAGCCTTCGGGTGAAGCATGAGGAAGTCGTAGGCTGAAGCTTTCTGGGACCTCCACTGGCCAGCCCAACTTATAAATGAGGAACGAAGGTGGGCGGGCTAAGCCGGTATAACTGACTTGATAAGTTGATATACATAGTGCAGGATGGAGGAGGAGGGTGTCTGAACCTTTATCATAAATCTGCACCTGGGCAATGTCAGTCTCACTGCAACCCCCCCCCCTCCCTCCCCCCCTCCTCCTCCTCAAATCCCATCGTTTTGTACGGAACAATTCTGCGAACTGAATGCAGACTGTGAAAGCGCTTTCTGCTCCATAGCAGCCTGGCAGTCGAATCTTCATGCTGGCTGCTGGTACAGTTGCAGTAGAATAGCACCTTTCATACTAAGGTTGGGAGGGCCAGACTTCTGGCTGCTTTTTGTTTTGGGTTGTGGAGTGGCTCTGCTGGACCATCAAGACAGGTCTATGCGAAGAACTGGACGACGGCAGACAGGCACAGGCAGACCTGTCCAGAAGTGATATCGACATTTTTGCTCCGATCTGTCCGGATGGTGCAGCACAACCATCCAGACCCGAAAATCAGGCTGGACATCAGCAGACAGACACAGGCAGACCTGTCCAGAACTGATTTCAACATCGTTGCTTTGACCTGTCCGGATGGTGCAGCCAGACCATACAAAACCGAAAATCGGGCCGGATGTCCCTCTCCCGCTACCTAGGTTTGTACCATATGTAAGATTGTCTACTCATATTGCATAAGCTTCGCAGGAGGAGTGTGTGGTGCATGTCAAAGTTATAGTCAAAATGAATTGTCTTCAAGGCACACGAGACATCGGGTGCAACACAGTATTCATAATTATAGGACGAGTGGGGAACGCCAACATGATTGGAGAATGGCTGCTTTTGTTCTTTGACTGTTTGTCCTTCTTTGGTGCATGACGCACGTTCACTTGTCAATTGCAGGCATCGGGTCGTCTAAGTCATTTGGTTCAGATGTGCACCGCAAGATGCATGGCTTGCATGATGATGCAAGCCAAGTCTGTGAGTCCCCGGAAACCGCTCCGGGCTCGCAGCGACATAGCAAAGCGCCCAAGAAGCGGTCTAAGGTGAAGAATCGCAGTCGGGAGATAAACGATGATCGAATGGTGTCGTCTTCGTCAAAGATGACCCAGGAACCAACACATCCTGACCGGGTTTGCCGGCCACCCGGCACCAGACCTGAACAGGCTGTATCGCCTCTCTCCCAGTATGTGTCGCCTGTGGCTGTCCTGAATGATGAGTATCCAGCGGTTGATGCTGGTGTCGATGCTGATGACAGCGAGTTATGGGCGAGGATTGCAGACTTGGTTGGTAGCTGGGTATTGCCCTCTCAATCGCTGAATGAGTGCTCTGTACATGCATCATCTGCATCTTCTTGTAATGGCGTCAGTTTCCCAGCTTGCAGGGGCCCACATGATGCTGTGGACTGGGCCAGCGTGGTGCACCGCAATGTGGACCTGTCATCCCAAGGCAGCAAGGGAAAGCAACCGGGACAACTTGTTCCCTCCACTCCTCAGCCTAGGCTTGTCGTTGGTTCCGCCGGCGTGAGTGCAGCCATAGTTTCCAGCACTGATGCAGCAGATATGGTGGGGTTTGTGCCCCCCTCAGTTGCTGTGTCAGGTCTTTCGCCCTTGTCCTTCAGTTCTGAACAGGCCATGAACAGCAGTGTAAGGACAGATCGGGGACTGGACAGCGAGAACTGGAATAAGGTCAGGACTGTTGGGGAATGGAAACCGGGACTCATTGTCGGGGCATGCAGTAAACGGGGAGGTTCAGCTTGTCTAGCACCTGCAGGTGATGTTGTTGTTACAGGTACAGCAAGGCAGACCGCCATGTCATTCATTCCTTTGAACTCTGTGTTACTGTATTTTCTAAACCATGGTTTTGTGCTCGGAGAAACAAGTCTGTCTTTTCATGAACATTTCTTTCGTGCGCACAGTCACAGGTTTTCTTTTTCTGTTCAAGCCCTTTCCATCTGCCATTGTGTCCTTGTGAACACACATTCTTGCAAGGGAAACCATTGCAAGTATTGGCTCTATGTGGGTGTCACTTGTTGGCGAGGTCACGCTCATCCTTGTTTATGGCTGCCCTGAGAACATTATTTACAATGTGTTTTCATGTGTGTGACTGGGTTATCGACTGTGTTTGTGTTTGTCTGTGTGAGAAAGGTGTAAAGCGGGCTGGGTCAACAACAGAGGAGGATGATGAGCAGGAGGAGGAGGAGGAGGAGGAGGAAGAGGAGGAGAAAGAGGAAGAGGGGGGGGGAGGTGGGGGCAGGAAGAAGAGCAGCAGAGCGAGGGCGAGGGTATATCGGATGCGGGCGGGATAGGAAGAGAGACGATGGGTGTCCCCGCCCCATGTTGTTTGCCCCTTTCCCCTGGCTCCTATGAACAGGCCACAGACTGCGGTGTCAGGACAGGTCAGGGACTGGACAGACAGAACTGAAATAAGGTTGGGACTGTCAGGGGATGGATTCTGGGACTGGTTGGCAGGAAAGGCAGTAAACGGGACGGCACATCATTTTTAGCAGCCGCACTGCCGCAGGTATTTTCGTTACAGGTACAGCAAGCCAGATAGCCAGCTCATCCCTCTGAATTCTCTGTGAATTCCGTCTGTCTTTGTCGTTTCCTTTTTGTTGTTCTGGGACACCGAGGTGCACGTGTCTTGGACATGGTTCACGCTTACTCAAGCTCGAGTGCATGTTCTGTACGAGCACGTTCCTTCTCCCACCGTGTGCTTGTGGGTATCCAACTTTTTTCACAACCAGCGCGGCATCATCTCGGCGTGGGTGCCAAGTCCTCCGACACACCTATTAGACGAAAGATAGCATTGCTGAGGATGTCACATGCTGCATTTGCTTGTTTGTAGCTGCTGTTAGGATGTCATTCATCCACAGCTTCGTCAAGTTGAACTGGTGGTTCAACTGAATGGGGCGGTAGCCTCTTGTTGCTGTATCCGTCAGGTTTTGAAGTTTGAACTTTGAACTGATTATGTTCTGTGTATTAATAGTCAGGGACATCTGTGCTTTTGTTCTGGATTGTGTTTGTGCATGTATTTGTAATAACATTCTTGAATTTCTTGTGTTGAAAAACTTTCGACTGAATCTAGGAGCTGACAGCTGTAATAATGGTCAGATGCATCGGGGCAAGTCCTAGTATGACTTAAGAAAGTTGCACTGTGGACCAGGGTGAGAACACTGGTCCACAGTGCAGCTGGCCCACCCCACCCTGGTCCACGCTGCAGCGGGTCCACCTCACCCTGGTCCACCCCACCCTGGTGCACACTGCAGCTGGTCCACGTGACCCCGGTCCATACTGAAGCTGGTCCACACTGGAGCTGGTCCACCCCACCCTGGTGCACACTGCAGCTGGTCCACGTGACCCTGGTCCACCTCACCCTGGTCCACACTGGAGCTGGTCACCCACCTCACCCTGCTCCACGGCTGCAGCTGGTCCACCTCGCCCTGGTCCACCACTGCAGCTGGTCCACCCCACCCTGGTGCACAGCTGGTCCACCTCGCCATGGTCCACACTGCAGCTGGTCCACCTCACCCTGGTCCACCACAGCAGCCGGTCCCTGAGAAGTGGATTGTTGGAGGGAGGAGAAATGAGAAGGGGGAAGAGGTGGGAGGCTATGCTTGAGGCAATGCAGTCAAAGCGACAAGGGATGGCTGGGTGTGGCATGAGCTTTCTACGCTGACTTATGGGAAGTTATGGCGACACGGCAGATAGCTAACCTGTATCGTTGGGTTCAGGGAAGTGAAAGGAGGATGTGTGTGTGCAGAGAGGTGCTAATAGTAATTGACTGAAATGAAACAGATCAAGACATAAGGAGGGATGACGGGATCATACACAGCCCATGTGGCTGAATGATGGGATCATGAGAGTGAGTATGGAGCACTTCATTCAGAGGCGCAGGCGATGTCGATTTGTTAAAAGGAAGTCAGCTGGTCTTGTGGAGGACATCTGTTAAAATTGGAACAATGCGGAGAAGTTTAGCATGGCCCCTGCGCAAGGATGACACGCATAGATCAAGGGGAAACAAAAAAAAAGATAGTCAGCTGAGTGATCGTGTTGGATTGTGGCATGTGGACGCAGATGAGGCCCATGTGGGACTACCTGCTGATGAAGATGGAGGCAGCATTGATAAGCCTGTTGATGATGAGATTCGACCACATGATAAATTTAACAGTCAATCTACTATTGAGGTCAGCTCTGGCGAAGTGGCCTCCTTGAGGCCATTGTCAGATGATGGTGAGGATTTATCAGATGGTTGTGTCTCGCCTCTCTGTCATCCAGGAAAGATTGGGCAATTCTCGCTCGACGTTCCAGGTCTGAAACCCCTGAGAGAATTGGGGGAGGAGGAAGGGAGCGTTTTCCAGAGCACCTGCAGGAGCCATGACAAGAAGCCGAAGGAGAGTTTGTCGTCAATTCTCAACAAGGCGTTGACCTTCAGAGAATGGGATGGAAAGAGTTCCCCTTGTATGGTCCAGGATAAGGTGAGAAGATCTTATAGCTTGTCGAAGACCATCGGCAAGCAACATCACCAGTATGCGGATGAATACAACATAGATGCGGCAGTCGATCTCCACAGCGAGTATTATGATGACGATGAGGGTGATGGGGAAGTTGATGATGCTGTGTTCGATCCCGACAGTATTCCGCCGTCAGCATTGGACGTGAACACGTGTCGTGATTTGTACAATCAAGACGATTTCGAAATGAAGGGTATTGTTAGCCTGCAGGGCTCCTCGATGAGTGACTGGGAGGAGATGATTGCTGCAGATGACTATAACGGAGAGGTTATTGATGATTGTGCAACGAGTGGAGTTCAGCATATGTGCAGCAAGCCTGCAAGGGCTATATCCTCTGAGTTAGGAGAGAGGAGTGACGAGCAAAGTGGAACAACAGGCTCTATTGTAAGCGACCAGCGTCGATGCCAGTTGCCATCCGATGATGTCCTTCTTGAAAGGTGTGCAAATGATAATGCGACAATAGACGCTAGTGAACCCTTTGTACTTGGTACAAGAGTACGTAGGGTCTCAGATGGAGTAGAGGAACTGGCAATGGCTGTCCTTGCAATGGCAGCAGAAGACGGGTGGTCAATCGCGGATGGCCTCCAGACGTCTACGCCCGGACATGGGGCTGCTGCACTTTCCGATGACATGTCTGAGACGGATGACACTGATGGGGCCTACCCTGAACGAATGTGTGCAGACGCATTTTCTGCCTGTGGTGGGGACGAAGATGAAGAAATGCACGATGGGGGCTTAGATGTTGCAAGTACTTTTCAAACAGGGAATGTTATCGGAACAGAACGAATGGACACCGAGTCGGCAGGAGAAGTGGAGCAAGGGGAGTGGAACGGAAGCGACTCGTCTTATGAGCTTCCAGAGGTGGTTGTCAAAGCGCGAAAGAGGGCACCGCAGGATTGGGTGGTGGTTGGGATGGGTAACGACCTGGGGGGGCACGCAAGTAAGACAAAGAGGGATCTGTCCATTTATGCCGAAAGGACCGGGGAGAGTCCTTTTATCCGTCCGCTCTCCCGAGAAGCGATACAGAATATTCTGGGAGATGCATGCACAAAGTTGGTATTCTACTCTACTTCAATGCGGGCTGTACGAAAGACGTTTGACGGTTGTCAGGAGGTTCGACAGATACTGAAATGCCACGCCGTGGAAGTCGACGAGAGAGATGTCAGCATCGACTCTGGCTACCGGGAAGAACTGAGGAAGCTGTTGGGGGTGCGAACCATTCAGCTCCCACAGGTCTTCATCAAGGGTCGTTACATTGGTGGCCTTGAAGAGGTCCATCAGATGAATGAAACAGAGGAATTGACTGCTCTGCTGGAGGGTATGCCAAGACGATCCCCTTATGACCTCTGTGAAGGCTGCGCTGATCTTCGCTTCCTTGTGTGCACCGCTTGCCATGGAAGCCGGAAGGTTATCCTTCCTGACTTGTCGACAGAGCGGTGCTCTAACTGCAATGAGTATGGACTTGAAAGGTGCCCTATCTGTAACCACAGTTAGGGCCTCGCTCCACTACACAGCACGCTACATGTACCTGGACAACATCGGGACCAAATACATGCGGACTGGTCCAATATTTTGCATATATCAAGATTCAAGACCATTACAGGCTCCAGATGCATTTGGAATGTTGTGCACTGGAACGACCCTTAGGCACAGGGCTTACGTCTTCTGTCACACCACAGTCTAGTCTGCAAATATGCTAGCTATCCGCCACAGACAGACACACACACACACACACACACACACACACACACACACACACACACACACACACACACACACACAGAGAGAGAGAGAGAGAGAGAGNACACACACACACACACACACACACACACACACACACAGAGAGAGAGAGAGAGAGAGAGAGAGAGAGAGAGAGAGAGAGAGAGAGAGAGAGAGAGGTTGTATTATGTTGACACACACATTTCAAGGGAGATTGAGTGCCTGTATAGCTAGATGACGGCTTTGGTGGGCACTAGCAATTACTAGAAAAAGGAAAGGAAAGCGGCGCAAGGTCAGTCTGACGACTCTGACCCCAATATCTCCCAATGGAAGAGCTTGTAAGCTGGTGTCCTGAGATAGATACCCAACATCAGACTGCGGGTCAGCGCATACGTGCCTAGGTATCCTGAAGTGATACCCTTACAGACCCAGCATAGCCCCCGCATAGAAGCAATATACGACCCTCTAGCAGCTTGATAGCATGAGTATAGCACCCTCAGAATAGCACCCCAAGTATAGCACCCCCAGAAGATCACCCCAGGTATAGCACGCCCAGAATAGCACCATCATAGCACCCCAGAATAGCTACCAGTATAGCACGAGGATTCATACAAGGCTCCACCATCAAGCTGTTGTGTAACCTGTGGCATACTGATGATACGCATCGGGAACACAAGCTTGTACAGCACTGGGTGATGGTGCAGTCAGCCTTCTCCAAGCTGGGCATCAAGCAAGCAAGCTGCGGAATTGAAAAGCAAATGGTTTGGATCATCAAGCCCATAAGGTGACGACGGAAGGAACGGTCAATGACGCTTGCTGGGGGAGTGGGTTCTGTTTCTCTCTGTTTGTTCTTGTCCTTTGGTGTCTATGTCAGCCTCCTGATGAGTCGGTGAAACTCCGACGAAACAGTTTGTCACAGCCCCTCGTTTGTTGTCCTCTTCTCTCTCTCTGCCTACGGTTTACCGGGCAGTTCTGTTTGTGACGATATATACAGTGATATATATGATAGAGAATATCATATATGCATCGATCATTAGATAAATAGTAGATACTACATAGACAGATAGATAGATAGATAGATAGATAGATGGATAGACTGATTGTTATACCCATGTGTTAGGGATCTGCAAACTTGTCTGCCTGTATTTGACTGCCTTCACACTCATTATACAGAACTACACTACATGTGGGCATTTGTGGGGGTCGTTAAATCTTTCTTCCCGTGTCCGACCGCCCATTACTCATTATAAAGAGGGACACCACTACATGTGGGGTCATTATATCTTTCTGCCTGTTCGACTGCCCATTACTCATTGTAGACAGGTACACTACTACATGTGGGGGTCGTCAAATCTTTATTATCGGATGATTGGGGATACCGTTATCTAGTCATGCACGTCCAGATACACGGATTTACGGTTCGGAAATTCAGAGTCCGAACTCTCTTCAAGTTTCGTCTTTCAGCCTTGGCAGTCGCTCTGGATGTTTCTCAGCTATATGGCATTTGCGCTGAGTGTTGCGCCCATGGCAGTTGCTGCGGGGGGTGCAGCTGCGGCAAAACATCGACATGGAGAACAGGAGTTGTGTTGTTGACTTAGGCACAGAACAGTGCAATCGCAGCGCTTTGCACATCCGGCTACACGTTTGAGAAATTTAGAGTCTGAATTCTGTGCAAGTTTTGTGTTTCAGTTGGCTCCGGATGTTCCAGCTACAGCATTTGCTCTGAGTGTTGCGGCCATGGCAGTTGCTGCGGGGGCTTCAGCTGCGGCAAAATATCGATATGGAAAAGAGGAGTTGTGTTGTTGACCTAGGCACAGAACAGGGTAATTGCAGCGCTATGCAGCAGTCGATGATCTTTGATCGCTGGGCAATGCACCTGGGCAGCCAGCACTTTTCCATCCTGACTGGGAATGCCAGGCTTCCAAGGGCGCCAGAGTACAAGTCAGAAGGGGAGATGCCAGTTGCAAAAGTAAGGGGCTTAGAAAGAAAAAGAGGTAACAGACATCAGACATACTTGTGCTTAGAGATGGCACAGGTAATAGAGAATACTTGCGCTTTTGTTTTCTTGTAATTGTTGCTGAATATCACTGAATAACATGAAAACTATGAGGCCATCTGGCTGCACGTCTGCGAAGCAGACGGACTTGAGAGGGGCCTCGTAGGTTTGGCTGACGTGGCGTAGAAACACATTTGATGATGACAACAATTAATGAGCCCCGTGACATGTCTTCATTGTCTTGTTGTAATCATTGTTGTTTTTTGATGGGTGTAATCAGTCAGCACTTGATGCTGCACCCCTGCAGAAAGTGGGTGAGTTTAGGGAGGGGGGCGGGGGAGGGGGCAGGAGATTGACTGATGATGCCTACGGAGGCACATCTGCTGACGGTAACGCCAAATATTCGATAAAGTCTAAAACAATAAAAAAAATGATTTTTATTCATTTTTAACCATTTAAACTACATTTTATGATTTCCATCCGTTCCGCCGGAAGTTTGGAACAGGCCGAACTCTACCTTCCCCCTTCCCGTTCCCATCCCTATCCCCCGCAAAAACGAACAAGGGAGAAGGAGAAGGATGCTCAGGATGGGCTGAACACCAGAGAAGCAACTCACTTGGGAAAACTCTTTTTGAGGAATGTCTTGCAGGCACACGCTGATGTCAACGGGTTTTGGAAATTTTGGATCTAGCATATTATGATGCTTATGCATGAGCCTGGCAACGTGCAAGACGACAATGAGTTGGTGCGAGTTGAGCGACTTCCGGGGGCTTCAAAAGGCAACCATCTGGTGAAAGGTGATCTCCTTGCCTCTAGTGTAACCAGGGGATGACTCCATGCAAAGATTAGGGGATAGGGAGGGGAGGGGGAAGGGATGGCTGGCCTGTCACAGGGTGGGAAAAAAAAAAAAAAGAAAAAAAAAAAGGGTATATTGGTGTGAAAGGAACCAGCCAGAGATGGCTTGGACATGCCCTCTCATTGGGGAGACAGGTCTTTTTGTCGCTAAACAAGAAAAGGACCAGATATCACATCTTGTCAATTCCAGCATCTTCTCTCTACAGTGTGGTTTTGGGTTGGTTCTGTACAATGAGATGATTGTGTCCTTCGCTCACTTCTTTTTTTTTTCCCCTCTTTTTGAGTTGAAACGGGTTAACCATTTTAAAGTTTAAACTACTTTCTCTTTTATCTAGTTGTAAATTTTGTAATACAGAACCCCGGAGTCAGGAAGCATTTGGCTGCAGCTATGAACAAGCCAGGGGAAAGATTGGTAACGGTCCAAATGTGCAAGCGATGGCTGCAGGTTGGTTTGCGTATTGGCTGCTCTTATGGCCTACAAGGGGTTTGATCCCATGACCTGAAGACTGAAAGGGAAGGCGAGGGATATGGAGGTCGCCGGTGTTGTTATGCACATGGCAGGCCATGGGATCAAACCCCAGGGTCTGTTCATGATCAAAGGGAGGAAGGGAGATGGAGGAGGAGGGGGATGAGGTGGTATCAGGTGACTTGCGTTTTCAATTGAGATGGAAGCGCTCATGACAATTGTCAATGGGTGAGTTTGCTGCTTCATGTTTGCTGCTTCATGTTTACTGCTTCATGTTTGCTGCCTTGGTTCTAGGTCATTGTCTGTCTTAAGCCTGCGGTCCTGAACTCTGAAAACAGAATGCAGCCTGCTAATGTGTGAAGGCTATTTAAACCCTGGGAATGGGTGGGTAAACAGATGAGAACCTGATGAGGCTGTGCTTGGTGGGTGTGGGTGTGGGTCTGGGTGTGGGTGTGTGTGTGTGTGTGTGAAGGGTTATGCATGTATGCACATCGTGGCATGCACTCTCTGCCAGGCAGGGCTCCGGTGAGAAGACCAGCATACCGAAAGACTCTCTTACAGGAGTGTTACGATCCTGGTCATTCCCAAAGTGCAAATTCACAATGAAAGACAATGCCACCCAATTGCGAAAGAAATGAAAGCACTTGCAAAGAGATAGA